TGGAAAATCGAAAAAAAAATTGTAGATGGAAACTGTTTGTGGTTTAAGATATTTTGGTTTTTATATGGTAGAGCCATGCTGCAGTTATCATGGAGGCAGCACAAATGGGTCGGTTCGATCGGGGAAGGACAATGCTCTCAGAGAATACCAGCCTAAAATAGCAGCTCAATACTGTTCTGTTTCGTATGTTCAGTGTAGAGAACCGGAGACCCTTCTTATATTTAATCAAGGATAGGTGCAGATGTCTATGGGCTACAGTACCCACTTACCATTAGATGGACTGTGTGCTCGTTTGTTACCCTTATTTTATATAAAAAAACTGTTGTAATATTTGTACACGTTTTAATTTATAAGCCGTGTGCCTATGACATGTGTGACGACAAAAGATACGCAACAGCATCTTACTAATAATAACTCAATAGTAATGATTAAAATTATGGCTTCCAACCCATCTGCTAAGCGTGATAACTACTGAAAAGTTCCGGGTTCGAGATGGGGACTGAAAAAAGGTCGGGATTAAGCAGAGATCACATTCAGCTCCACCGGATATCCTCTTAATGTCTTTTTGACAAAGCCATGGCATTTTTTAATTTATTATGTTTTTACGCGCTTTCGGCAAAATATGTCCGGATCTGGTGTATACATATGTATATTACAACATGTTGTATTTCCTTTATTTAAAACACTAAAGAAAAATTTTATATTCTAAAGACATGACACGATCTAAAGTTCTATTGATAAAATAAATGTTGGGTAAATGTGTAAAGAAACTGTGAGAATAATTTTCATCTTTATTGCCGAACATTAATAACATCTTGGTCTGATGCCAAGCTCAAAGTTTTAAATGCATTTTGAAAAGATATTAGGTGGGAACAAACTAGAATAATCGAATCTCTAAGGTGCAAAGTGCATTAGGAAAATTCTTTTAGGGAACAATATTTTTTATAGGAAGCGGCTGCAGGCTAATCAGTATAGGTACGGACTGCAAACTCGGAAAATTTACGGCTCAGACTTTTGATAACCATTCCTAGCACTTTTAAGCTTATTTAGAGTAGTTAAGTGGAATATTAGTAACATTAATAGCATTATTGGTATTCTTTTTTTTATAAAATAAATATGACAAACGAGCCCACAGTCCCCCTGATGGTAAGTACACGCCGTGGCACATAGACAACTACATTTATCTTCAAATAAGAATAAAAATGCAGATGCGTTGTTACCCTTGAAGCCAAAGATGAAATACCTCCTTTCCAGTAAAAAGGGTCTCCGGTTATCTACATTCATCATACGAAACACAGCAGCTTTGAGTTGCTATTACACGCTGGTATTCTGTGAGAGCGTGGTCCTTCCCCGGTCAAGCCGACCCATTCCTGTTACAACTAAAATATAGCTGCAGCTTAGTTTTACCGCGTAATAAATTAGAAAGAAACGAACAAACAATCTATGTATATGACCAGTGCAATATTTACTTCTTAATTGGAGTTCGTTTTAGCTACACCAACCTTTAACCAACTTCAAATAAAGAAGGCTACAAAAGCGTTGTCATTTTTGAGGACTAGGATGAAATGCTTCACATCCTATAATTATTCTGGTTCTCTATATCCTTCAAACCAGAACACAGCATTGCACGCACTGCTTAGCGGCAGAATTACGTAAGATGGTACCTATCAGATTGACCGGTCACTACGAGTCTTTCATAATCAATGAGTGTGAATGTCCCTTAATATTATTTCTTTTCTAGTTCAAAGGCTATGTGTAGCCATTCAGCGAGGACAAGCAGCCAGTGTTCTTTGAACTATACCGCGAGGATTAAGACTGGATGATGATTTAAGTTTTTAGTTTTAGCTTTTTATTATAGTAATAAATATTACCATTACAGCCTATGAAAGTCGACTGCTGAAAAAAGGCATTCCTGATAGATTGCCTCATAGGATGGATTATATTTGCCATGGTAACCACGCTTGGCGAACAGGTTGGCAACCGTGGTTTTTTTATTTTTAGTCGTTATTAGGAAGACGCTGCTATTCACATCCACTTTGGTATTTTTTTTTATAAGATGAGGATGAAAAACGATCACAGTCCACCCGATGGTAAGTGGCTGCCGTGGCTCATAGACACCTACATCTATCCTCGAGTACGAATCAAAATGCAGATGCGAATAAAAAGAAACACCTTTAATTTTTCAACCATTGCTATGTAAAACTAAGGTAACCGTGTTAGTATTCAACTAGAAAGCCATTACTTCTGTTAGATTTATTACTGCACTTACTATAATGGAAACAATTCCCAAGTACCATCACGTTTTATTCGTGAGAAGGTAAGTAGACCAATCTATATTCAAATGAAATAAGATTAAAGACAGAACGTACCGCGCAAATAAAATTGCATTTTTTATCTTACTATTCTTAATTCCAGTCTAAAGAATCATTACGTGAAAGAACCATAATATAGCACGAACCGGGCAGCTCAGCCGAGGATAGACCACGCTCGGTGGGTTATTTCATTCACTACAGCCCATTTAGAGTCCACTTCTGAACTTAAGCGTAACCGGTAGTTTGCCTTATTGTTGTCATCTTATTAGTGACACTTTTGACATATAACAGTTACAGCAGGCACACGAACTACCATAGAATACTATAATACACAATAGAATGGCTGTCAACCTTATTTTGTAAGAGGTTCGGTGTCGCCGGGAGCACACATACAAGCAATTACGTCGTATTATCACTACTAAAAACCCGATTCGCTGTGTTGACAGACAGATTTTAATACATATTTGTTTGTAAATAGCGTGTAATTTGGCATTTCCTAAATAATTTGCATAGGAAATTTGGAAACGATTGTAACGTCAAAACACATCTCGTGTTGACGTTTATACGTGTGAATTGACGTCGCCGTCACCGAAATTCGGTCTGGAGGACATTATTATTATTACTCGTGTTACTAATGACCATTTTTAATTGAAAGAAAGAAAGATTTATTGCAGCACGCCACAAACATCAGTAGGCACTTAAATTTTAATATTTGTGGACACATCAATTATAAACATTATAACAAACAAAAACAGGAAACAAAACAACAATTTGACGGATAAAAAATTCCGTGTTTATGATAATTTTTTTTTATAGGTGTTTTGAATATAACTCTATATTTGCATGTCCTTATTTTCCGAAATATCACAACTTTATAAGCGCAGTGCTTGGTGTTTCCAATAAAAGCGCGTTTTAATTAACGTTTAGCTGTTTTGCGCTTGGGATGGACTGATACAGAATATAAACATTAAAACACAAAATCGGTACGATATCAGTTTTAAAACTTGACTATAACAAAGTAATTTGGATATGTGGCCTTGAATGTTACCTACTTGTCAGGTGTACTAATTTAACTAGGGCCATTATTTGTGCGAAAACAATATTCATAATTTCGGTTGTGATAATATCATGTAGATTTTTCTGATATTTATTTTAAATTATTATTATACTAATTATAATTTCAATTATCACCGTCATTATTACAGCTCTTCACAAGTGCACTGCTAAAAATAGGCCTCCTCCAAAGAATGCCATATAGCACGGTACTGACGGAAAAGGTTCTCGACTGGCAGCCTTTTAGCGGTAAGCGAAGGGTACGGTGACCCTCCACTAGATGGAGTGATGATCTGATCAGAGGCAGAAGAGTCGATGAATGCATACGACTTAGAACAGTGTTTTGAGGATTTTAGTGGGGGAGAACTTTGTTCAGTGGTGGTTTTGTATAGGGCTGTATTGACGATGATGATGATCAATTAGATCTTTTATTTACATGAGATAATTAATATTATGCTTACCACGTATAAAATGAGTAAATCAGTGACAGAGGCAGTGCGAATAGTTGAGTTCTGCAAGGGATATTTTACCTGCCAAGAAGGAAATCCGCTTTTTCGGTAAACCTTTCGGCGCTCCGTTTCATTTCTGATTTCTGATCTCCTACTAGATTAGTAACACATAATTAATAATAAAATGTTGATATGCAGCTTGAAATTAATTCTAAAGTAAAATACAGCCTTTATATATCCCTCAGCAAGGCCCGGGTCTAATGTCTTCTCTGGGAGGGATTAAGGGGGTAGACGGTCTGCGCGGGAATTGAAAAATAGGTATTGGAAGAAACTATTGCCGTCCCTCACCTCTGGGCTCCACCCGAAGAGTATGTATAGGGACAACTGCAGCTCCAAACGATTTTACCTACATAAACCATGACCGATCGTCGTTTCGTATTCCCCTGTTTTCTTCTTAAAAACTAAGCCAATTAAATTTTTTTTGGTATCAAAATTTAAAGGAAGAATTGATCTATACTTCTATCATTTGCTTTTATCTTAAAAGCTTTCAAATTTCTTTGGTAGTCGTCTGATTACGGAGGTAAAAACGGGGCATTTTTTTTTGATTTTTGGAAAGTCATATTTATTTTTGTAATAATTTTTTGAAAAAAGTAAATGACAGGGGCATGCTTTTAATAGATCTAGATTTTTATAAACAAAAACGATTACTCTAGAGGCATTATCCACGAATAAAATAGGGGAATACATTTGTATGCAACAAATGCAGCCCGTGTACCCTCTTAGAGGCAAAAATGTGTCTACTGCCTATTAGCGGACTTTACACGTCTCCGAAATATTTTTTTGATTTTTCAGATATGCTTATACGTAGTAGAGTCACACTGCAAGTTATAGTTGTAGCATTAATGGGTCAGCTCGCTGTAGGACCATGATCTTACAGAATACTAGCGTAAAGGGTATAACGAAACTTTAAAAACATAACGTAACGAAGAATTAAAGCCCAACTACAGAAGCTTTTAAGTCTATGGGCCACTGCATCCACTTACTATCAGATAGGCTGAGTGCTCGCTTGTCACCCGGAAATATTAATTAGAAAGGCTGTAATAATGGTGATGATAATAATGATTAAATAATAAGTCGGTCTGATTATTTCGTAGTTTTTTATTTAAGTTTTTTGGTTTTTACTCATTTATTTGTTTCTTCCATAATATTCCAACACGAACCTCGCTCCTTCCTTAATTCCTTGCCAAGTTTCATAGCCAGCCTGTTCGATAAAATCAGGGTCCACAAGGAAACCGTATACACTGTTGTTTATATTTCTGTAGGCTGGTAGTTCATAACAGTATGAAAGAGGAATACCGATAGCTTGAACGTAGTCATTGGAAGATCCAGAATCCATGTAATTTATAATCAAAGCCGAGTTTCCGACAAGGTAGTTAGGATTTGTAGGCCATTTTACAGCGTCGATCGCTTGCGCCATTCTAACACCGACTACTTGAAGAGTGAGGGCATTGGGTGGAAGTTCACGATTTCCGTATGCATAAAGGATCATGCTACCAAAGCTGTGGATATCAATATATAGTTCAAGTCGGTTGAAATGCTCCTGTACGATATCCCGTATAATAGCAGTCTCAGGTTCAGAGAAAGGCCCCTGGCCGTGGAAAGTCTCAGAGCAGACAGAGTTGCTGGACAATGTACCCCAATTGATATCAAAGTTACGATTAAGATCTACACCAAGGCATAAATTGCCAACCATATGACCAGTAGAACGATTTTTCCTCCAGAAACGTGTCTGCAAATGAAATAAATTTTATCACTTGACATAATATAGTAAAATGCTAATTTTAGCAAATCCTATATCTTTAAACGAGCAATTCTTGTATATATATAATCGGAATCTCGGAAACGGCTCCAACGATTTTCATAAATGCAGGGAGTTTCGGGGGCAATAAATCGATCTAGCTAGGATTTATTTTTAGAAAATGTCTTTTTTTCAGGCAATGAAAAACTGCTACAATATAAGACGTTAAATTTTGACACTGTGCCAATGTCGTAATAGCCCAAGTGGATATCGAGCGGTCGCGAAATCGGAATGCCTTGGTTCGCGTCCCGTCTTTGGTCCGACTTTCTTTCCCTTTTTTTTTTAAGTTCCCTTCTTTTGTGAGAAAATCTATTATTTCGAGCCCTTTTTTTAGTATTTTTAAAAAATAAGAGAGAAAAAAAATTTTAGTTAAACTAATTGCATAATTTTTTTTAATTAAAAACGAGCAAAGCTCGGTCATCCAGGTACTGTAATATGATTAAAACTACTTTTACGGATTTTATCGCGTTTAATTTTAATTTTAATTATTTAAATTTTTAATTCCCGACGTTTCGGGTGCTTTCCAGTACCCATGGTCACGGGGGACTGAGGTAACTGACGTCCCGATGTTATTGTTAAGCCCCGAGTACCTTCAGCTTTTTTAATTATTGTCTATGGTCCGATCTATGCAAAATGAACTGAATGAGTTCATTTCATATTAATGTGTAGTGTTCGCGTAATTATAAGAAATCAAAACGTAATATGATAAATATGATATATTTAAAGTAAATCATTTTAATTAGTATAAATTAAAGGGAAATAGAGTAAATGGGGCCTTGCACTCTACTGTGAAGAGTCAAAATGTGTCAAAAAAGGCACGTATGGCAATTCACAATGCTGTGTTGGTCCCTACTTTAACGTATGGTAGTGAAAGTTGGGTGTGGCAGAAAAAGCACGAGAGTAGAATAAACGCAGTAGAAATGCGGTCGTTAAGGAGTATGTTAGGGCTGAATCTGAATGACAGGGTAAGAAATTGTGTAATAAGAGAAGAGTGTGGTTTGCAAGATGATGTTGTGACCAGGATTAAGAAAGGAATGCTTCGGTGGTTTGGTCATGTGGAAAGAATGAATGAGGAAAGAGTGACAAAGAAAATTTATGTTGCAGAAGTGAATGGCAGAGTCGGAAAGGGACGTCCTAGGCGATATTTATCGACCAAATTGGCGACTTATTGGAAACGGGCCAAATTAGGAGTACCCTTAACCGACGAGCATGTATGCGTAGGTGTATGGATGTGAAGGAGGCGAGAGAAGTGTGTCAGGATCGTGCCAAATGGAAATCTGTAGTCTCTGCCTACCCCTCTGGGTGACAGGCGTGAGTGTTTATGGATTTATGGAAATTAAAGTAAAGTTATAGCCTATATACGTCCCACTGCTGGGAACAGGCCTCCTCTCTTTTCTGAGAGGGTATTAGGACAAGGAAGTGTCCGCCGCGCTGCCCCAATGCGTGTTGCGAACTTCACATGTCTTCCGAGCACGTGGTAAATCAGCACTTAAAATTGCAATTCAGTTAGTATATTTATATATAATTGTAAATAAAATTGAAGTGTCTGTATATAATATCGAAACTACTGCCCTTTAATGAGCTGAGGGGGGGGGGGGGGGGGGTTATATGCTTGTCATAAAAAATTTAAATTTTTGATATGTTTGTCCAAGTTCATCATCGGAAAGGTTGAACCCATTACAGTGAAAATTTGCGGAGGAGGAGGAGGAAAATTCACTCTAGGAGTGATCTTGTCTATACTTTATCCAAAAATCTTGGGGATTGCCTTTAGATAAAGTAATATTAATAAAATAATTGATATTTGATGATTAACTTAAATGTAAATAACCACATTATAAGACCCAAGTCATGAAATGCCGGGGCGAAAATATAGGGGCGGGTAGTTAAGTTCATATTACTTATAAATAGACTTATACAAGTAACTGCCTCGTTGGTCTAGTGGTTGTAGTAGTGCGACTGCTGATCATGAAGTCCTAGGTTCGAATCACGGGTCGGGCCAAAAATTAATTATTGAGTTTTTCCGTCAAGAAATTTTCAGTAGTTGCCCGGAGTCAGCAAGTTGGCGGTGTCTCACCCCCTTGCCCCGGAAAGCACGTAAAGCCGTTGGTCCTGCGCCTGATCTCTCTCCGGTCGTGTCGGTTTACCGTCCCATCGGATTATGAGAGTGAGGGAATAAAACAGTGCACCTGTGTTTGCGTATACACTTGGGCACTATAATCCTGTCCTGTGCCGATGGCTAGTCATCGTTGACGCAGGCCGCCGTAGCCGAAATTCGGTCTGGAGGACATTATTATTACTTATAAATAGACTTACGTTGGTATGAGAGAATTCATATCCGTCGGGATTAGCGATAGGCAAGATAATCCAGTCGATTTTGTCAACGAGATCTGTGTCGGTGATGTCGACAACTAATTTCTCGATAGCGTAAAGAGTAGCAGGCAGAGTTATCCATTCACGTGAGTGAAGCAAGGACTGAATCATGATAACAGGCTTTGAAGAATCCTGAAATCAAGAAATAATAAATAAAAAGATTAAATATTAACTGAACGTTGTAAGTTGCCAACAAAACTATTTCCATTTAGTTATTAGATTAGTTACCTGGAAGTTAGTTGTTGAAACCTTCAGGTATTTAATGTCACGGCCTTCAAAACTTTTCCCCGCCGAAACAACAGTAACTGTCGGGTATTTTTCGCCTAATTCAACGAGATAGTCATCAACCTAAAAAAATAAATGGGTATATGAAAATAAACTTTTATTTTGGTATAAGGTAAACGGCTGGCAATACATTAATCGTACAGCTTGGTATCGGTGAATAGTATCGAACGAGAGACGACCGTCGCTTCTGTTGCTGCGAAGCTCAGCTGCGGCCAACAATTGATCTTCCATATCCAGCATCCTGTGAAAAATAATTGTAAATTAAAACGCTGAACACCAAATCATGATACGCGTACAACAAGTAGGTATATATAAGTGTTACGTCCTACGTATACTGTTTTAAATTGAAAATGTCTGCCAACAAAAGTAGGCCTGGACAAGTTATTACTTGTTCGATCTTTGGAATTAATCAATGCCACGCACTCAATCTTAATTACCTTTTCAAATTTTTATTTTAAAAATATTCTTACCCTTTTTATATGTAATATTTTATGTAATGCATATATAGTGTTTATTTATACTTTATATCAAATTATCTTATTAGAATTTATATTTAAAAATAATAGTAGATTATATTTAGTACGATTATATAATATTTTATTTATTTTATTTTAAAAACCTTAATGCGTCCCCTTAGAAAGAAAGGATACAAAGGGAGGGCTTAAAGCCTATAAGCATTCTCTACCAGTCAACCCATGGAGTGGTGAGAGTTTGTCGTAGGTGTAGCGTTTAAAAGAAAGAAAAAAAAAACAGAAACTAAAATTAATACACATTACATGTAACAAAACTGATTATTATTTACTTATGATTAGTTGTAGCACAAAAGGGTCGACCCGTCCAGGAAAGGACAACGCTCTCACAGATCACCACCACAAAATGGCAACGTAATGTTACGTATGGTGAGTGTGCGCTTCGGAGACTCTTTTTACTGGACACGGGACATTCCGTCTTAGTCTTCGGGGTGTCCACACATCTGCATTTAGATTCTTTATCGAGCATTGATGTAGATGTCTACGGTACAGATGTACTTACTATCAGGTGAATTGTGTGCCCGTTTGTCACCCTTATCTTATATAAAAAAATCTTTGTGCTACTAACATTATTTTATTTTCAACTTTGAACATTAATACTTTACTCATAAGCTCAGACCAACAAAAATGAGAGACGGCTTAAATTTCAAATTTAAATCGTATTAGATTATAGAATACATAACATAGAATTTAAAATAAAAATTTAATAATTACTCTTTAATGTTTTGTACTTGAATTTCATATTGTGCTCCTGTAGCAGTGATCTCCCTTTCGAAGAGTTGACGCATTGGTCCCGGTACAAGGATCAGACCTGGACGTGTAGGAGTCGCATCCGACCAAACATCCAGTTCAAGTTCGTTTCCCAATGCATGAACTTGCCTCGCTTGTTGATCATTAGCAACTTTAACTTCGTACAAGACGAATCTTAAAAAAAATAATTAATAAATTACTTAATTTACACATGTATAGTGCAGGTGCTTTGCGTAAATAATTTGCACATGGACAAATTAAGACAAAATTGGCGATATATTGAAGAGTATCCTAACCGTCGAGCATATATATACATAGATTATGTGGAATCAAAAAAGCCTCTCACTTCACTTTTTCGATGATGTATCAGGATCGTGCGAAATGAAGTCCATAACCTCTGCCTAGTCCTCTGGGTTGCCAGTGTGATAGATTATGTATGTATGTTATACATACAAATTGATGAGCAGCCCGAGTTGACCAAAGAAATTGTTAATTGCATTTTTAACAAGTACCCTGTCCGCGATATAGACACAATAGTTAAACAATCGAAATGTTCATGTATGATTTCTGGGACAGGGTAAGAGTTAAGTAACTGTGTAGTGGCGGTGTAAGAATATCCACTACACCTGAGTATCTCGTGGTTGTCGTAAGATACGACATAGTGAAAGTAAAGAGTAGATGTGCAGAAGCATCTTCCTGAATATAACTTTATCATAATAATAAATTGAGGTTGTCAACCCGCCCGCCAAGCGTGGCATCAATGGCAAATGTTTCCTCTTTGTGGCCATCTATGGGGAGGCATATGAATTTGGTATTCGTGCTCGGCGGTAGAGTAAGACATCGTGAGAAAACATTTATGTTGAAGAAATAAAAAAAATAAAAACATCGAAGCTACGATGTAAAAAAAAAACTCTACCACCCATGTTCCTAAAGCCAAACGCTGGGTTCAGTTAGTTATTTTTACTAAATGGTAATTTAATTTTTTTCCAAACATGTAGGCACGCTGCAGCGTTTTTAATAAGAAGTACATACGATTTTAATAAGAATTGATTTGCTTGACCGAGGAAGGATCACACTCTGTGTTTCATCATAATAAGTATACAGTACTGAAAACTTTTTCCCTGAAAACGAGGCATTTCAACTTTGTCTCCAGGGATGACAAAGCAGGCAACGGAATCAACCATCAGGTGGACTGTGTACTCGTTTGTCATTCTTATTCATTAAATTAAATTAAAGAAATAGGTATTAAGAAAAATTAAATTAAATTTTCATGCTACTTTGGAAAACATTACTATCATCATTATCACAGCCTTTACATGTCCACACCTAAATAAACATATGTCTCCCCCAATGAATGCCACAAACTACGCTCCTGTGCCGCCTGCGTCCATCGACTTCCTGCATGTATTACCAGGTCTAGGAAAACATGCATATTTTAAATTAAGCAATACAAAATAACAAATACTCTTACCCGTTGTACTGTTCATGTTTGGCAAGCGCCAAACAGAAGGAGATAGCTAATAATAGAGCAACTTTATACATTTTGACCAAGTTCCGGTCAACAATGTTAGAAACTGACGTGAGCTTGTCAGAATGTTGATTTTTATTGAATTGTTCTTAGGTACTTAAGATAATCCCCATAACTCAAAATCAATAATCTATATAAATCATAAATTATATTTTGATAGCGTTGATAGAGACTAGCTTAACGTATTTGATATACTCGCATTAATCCATTAGTAATTTGTTACATTTCTACTTTATTATATCTATAAAAAAGTTTTATTAAAAATTGAAATACATACAAGTGTTATGGAAGAGTGGAGTCTCTTAACACAAGTTATTATACCTAAAAGTAGACTTAATCACCGGTTATATTGTATACGAATAATTTAGATTTGGAGTCTGTGTGGGATAATGTTAGGAAATGTTTGGTGGATGCAGTTACCGAAATATGTGGTATAGGTAAGAGAACGAATGAAAGGAGAAATAATACGTTATGGTAGGAGGATGAGTTACGGATAGATTTTGAAGCAAAGAAGAGAGCATGGATATATCTACTAGCAGCCAAAGCTGTTAATTCTGGCGTTATGAATGATAAGATTGAAAGAAAAAAGGAAGGGTTTAGACGTCTAAATTGAAGAGTAAATGAAGTAGTTAGGGAAAAATAAGAAATAACGAATAAGAATCATAGAAGAATACCTGATAACTTCAACGCAAATATTAAAATGTTGTAGAAACTCGTAAAAGCTGTCAGGGAAAATTCATAATAGCCTAGAATTAATGTTATAAATAACAAGAATGGCTCTAAATAATGAAGTTTCGAGCGCGTCTACGGACGTCTTTATAGCTCCCATAGCGGTAATGCCGAAACAGACCGACTCATCGACAACGTCTATATGCGGATCCTTGGCGATTTTAACGCCCACCACGTCGAATGGCTCGATTCTCGTTTGTCGATCATGAGGGGAAATCTGTTCATGATTTTGTCTTGGCATATGGTCTGACACAACCGGTTACTTTGCCTACGCGGATTTCAAATATGGAGGATCATGCACCTTCCCAGTTGGACTTCTGCTGAACTCTCATCTGGACAGATATCAGGTCTCCGTCGCCGCACATCTGGCTCCTCGGACCATTATCTAGTCCGAAGTGTGGTACAATTTTTACTATAGACATATTACTGTAAACATAGACGACAATAAACTTCATGTTCTTTCACGTCATAACTAATGCAGTCATTTTGGAAGCGATGGAAAACGGAATAACTACATACGTTGCAATCTCGGCAGAGATGGAACACGACAGCTAAACCATTAATGGTCGGAACGGTAGTTCTTCCCACCAAGGAAAATACGCCACCTCTGCATTGGCCATTGGGGATCGTTGAGGAGGTTTTTCTCGGATTCGACGGAGTAACTAGCATAGCTCGTGATAAGACCACGGCCGGGTCAAATATGTGTCCCGTTAATTGTCTGTGCCTTTTGCTTAATCAATAGTTTTCGAATTGTCTTTCTAGGCCAGATTAGTAGTTTAGATTAGGTTTAGTATTAGCTTTAGTTAGTTTTCAAGGGGACTCTTCAAGCCAGGGGTGGAATAGTTGCGCTAAAACGCATATTTTGTAGATATTAGCTGGCATCCTTCCTCATAACTTCCATTTCTTTTCCGGCACGGGCACGCCTCAAATAGGGGGCCATATATAGTGGCGTTATTTTGGGCGACCAATACGACGTGCTGGTCGAAAGTGCAAGGTCAAAAACCCACCACCGGCTGGCTAGTTGTCGACGTGCCGCCGCCACGCCAAGTAGGAGACCATCGCTAGATGTGATTGTATCTCTGTGGCAGTCGCGCCACAAAAGAACCGCTAATATTGACTGCCTTCGCATAGTGCAACTTATCGTCGCGCACTACCGCAGCTACAAAGTAGCACCATTAATCTCAGGCCTGAGTAAAAGGCCGCCAGAAGATCAATGCCCTAGTAAGTGCATCTCCTTTCTTCCTAGCGTGAGCTGTTCTCATTCGTTGCCACTCCTTCCTTACAACAGCTCTCGCTCCTAATTTTACCAGCTAATAAGGTAGGTTGGGTCCTAGCAAGTGCATTTTCCAAGACTACCACGTGCCACGTCAACCATCTTGTTTGGTTATAGAGAACCACGCATACAATTCATAAAAAAATCGATCTCGCATAATAGATCTTGGCCCGACCCGGGAATTGAACCCGAGACCCTATCATCCCACCACTTTCAGGTTCCTTCGATCCAGATACGAAGGGCAACATAGTCACCCTAACCATTTAGTGACCATCTGTTCCGGATTTGAACCCAGGAACCATTAGCGTCATCATTTCTGATTACTTTGACCCGGATTAGAATCCAGACAATCGCCGCACCTTTTTCTGGTCATTAGCGCGACCATGTAAGAAGAATAAATTCATGAACAGGAGTTGAAATCTACATAAGATAGGTAGCGGCGTCTTCCCGATAAAAATAATCAAAAATCAAAATAAAAAAATATGCAGTTGGCAACTATCATGCCAAGCGTGACAAATATCTAACTTATTTGGCAGTCTGTGGAGGACATACAATTGATGAATGGGAGTAGAAATAATATATTAGTCATGTAGAGGCGACGAAAAAGAAACTTCTACCCCATTTCATCCCGTGGGTATCTTAAGAGGCGACAGAGGGAATCTGAAACAGGAGATGGGTAGCATTATCATCAAACAATGGGGGAAGTCCAGGATCAGCAGTCAATAGCCCTATTAAAAGTAGAAAATTAGCAGCCTAAATACATCCCACTAATAAGAACAGGCCAGCAAGTAAGTTTTAGGTCAAAAAGAGTTAATTAAGTTGACCCCAACGCGGGATGACGACTTCACGTACCTATACCTAAAATAATTCCGAAATATTTTTTTAACTTCTCAGATATGAAGGTTTCCTTGCAATCTTTTTCTTCACCACCGAGAACGTGGTAAATCGAAACTTCAAATTACAGTTTAAGTATGAGTGGAGTCGGCGCGGATCTAATTTGGGTTGCTTACGCACCTACTACAAAATTTACGTTTAGGTCGGTTTGATTATCGGCTTAAACAGATGACTTTCAAGATTCAAGGTCAAAAAAATAACCCGAGCTTAAAATTTTGCTTTTTTTTGATATTTATAGTATTTTTTCTCAAGCCTGTTCATTTACTCACATCAGCTAGGAAACCGGAACTGTCACAAAAAATGTAAGAGTTATGTCTGAAAATATGAAACCTATCTTAACATATGACAAACTGTTTTAAAAATCTCATAAAAAGTAAAAAAGGCTGCGTCAACGGTATCACGAACTATTTCATCAATTATGTATAAAAATCTCGCAGTGCATTTAATTTTCAAACAATGGAAATCGATACAAAAAGAAATTGTTGAAATATTGCTATGCCGATTGCCACACAACATATTCAACTAAAGACCTTCTCTCTCTTTATCAAAGTTTTGTGTACACAGTTTTGTCAGTATTTTGCTAAAATTGACAATTATACAGACAGTGGCCACCGGTCTATACCAGTCTATAAATTTTTGATGCTGCAACAAAGGTACATATTTAATAGAATTGTGTTTAATTTGACCAGTTATGTTCTTATTATTAGTTTATTTAGCAGTACTAGTAACTATGACAATCACAATTTTACCGTCTAGTACTCTAACAAAATAAGTTGAGGTGAAACTGGGGTGGTTCTATTGCATAACAAAGCCGCTTACATTTATGTAATATATTAATTTTGCATAAAGGGATGTAGAATATATTAAAAATTCTGCTTTATCAAATGTACGCATTCAGCGCTGCTAGCGGTGTGCAATGAAACAATTTTACGATATAACAATAACATCTATAAATAGCAATGTCGTGTTTAGTTGTTAATATCGCCAAACAATCTCTATTCATTGATTTGGTCAAGCTATATCATGATATAGTGAACAAACACTGTAAAATTTTATGAAAACACGCCATTTCATTTTTAATAATCGGTCAATTTATGATATTATAAATTCTAAGATCTGACCAATACGTATATAACAATCTTTTTATTTAAACTATAAGAATAGTAAGAATTGTTAGAGATAAGACAGTTGCAATTTTTATGAGTTTACTTATAGATTAGAAATTAAACTCAAAAAATCCTTAATTTTATGATTTTTGATAGATATCACTATTATCTATTTAAGTAGTAATTGGTTAATATATATTTTTTTATTTCTACTAAAATGAAATAACAAAAACTAAATGATGTACATTAGAATTTTCAAATCAATTATGAATAAAATTAAATAACTATACAAATGTATGTTATTTATATTATTAAATTTATCAGTAACTGGAGGCAAAATATCACTACTTTTGTATTTTACGTTAGACGGTACTGCCTTGAAAAGTGAATACAACAATAATATCATAGATTTTCGGCGTAGTTCAATTTATTACACAACGGTTAAAACTAATTTTGGGCTTTATTTATAAATATTTTATTTATTTTAATAAAACAATAATTTTCTGCGTCGCATTTCAATAATAAGTTTCTGCCTCACTTAAAGCGATATAATTCTTCTGTAGACTTCATTATTCATAACTTAGACAGTAACACACTCAAAAAATGCCTCAAAAAACGATCAAATGTTGTACGAATTGCTACATAATATCATCTACTCTCCCCTACATTTAAGCAAAGTGAATCTTGCGTGTCACAGGTTAGGTGCACGAAATAAACCTCTTTTTGCATTACGTAAAGTTAAAACGAAGTATGCTTCAAATAGTTATGTATTTCGTACATGTAAAAATTTTAACACAGATATACTTTAGAGCCGTGGTAGCTCAATGGTTAACGCTCGCTGTAAATATAACAGAACGCGAGTAACCCGGGTTCGATCCTCGCCGGCACCAATGAAATTGTTAATTGCAATTTTAAGTGTATCAGCACCACGTGCTCGGCGGTGAAGGAAAACATCGTGAGGAAACCTGCATGTCTGAGGAATAAGGAAAAAAAATATTTCGAAGACATGTGA